GTGTGTGTGTGTGTGTGTGTGTGTGTGTGTGTGTGTGTGTGTGTCTGATATATATATGATCAGGTGCATATATATATATGTGTGTGTGTGTGTATAAATATATATATATATACAAGAACTGTATGAGCTCCCATATATATATACACCTGATCATATGTATATATATTGAAGGCGGAGGTTTAGAAATTTGGTGTCTCAACATCAAAGGACATTTCAATTAAAATAGGGTTTCTCATATGACCAGAGGCACTTTCAAGACCAGGGCAGAAAAAAATAAAAAGACCTAAAATATTAATGCTGAAGAAATATCGGTGTCAAAAGAGTAACGTCAATTATGTAACCTCCCGACCTGCAGCTCTTTAACGTCCTAGGTAACTGTTCTGCATAGCCTTCTCTTATAAAGAGTGCGCCACATAATTCACACCCAACACTCGCAAATCGATTAAAACGACAGTGCTATTTTCAAAACAATGACACAATAAAATTAAGCTGCAATGCATCAGAAACAGTTGCCCTTTTTGGCTGCTTAAAAAGTACTGATAATGATCTTTCACCTAGAGATTACAAGAGTTATTCTTGAGAACAAGAACTGTATGAGCTCGCATATTCCCATACCAACTAGCAAAGAAAAGTTATATAGATCTACTCAAAGCCCACCCCCTTCCATACGCCCCCTGCTGGCTCCACAGTAGCACTGATCCAATAAAACCCCACAGGATTTCATTAAAGATGTTCATGCAAGAGCAGTATGTCAGAATCTGAAATGAGAACATTTACATATAGTAGGCCCAGCCAGTAAGGGAATAGGTTAATTAGCCCAAGGCAGCTTCAGGGAAGAAAAAGCAGTAGCAGCAAAGTCCTTTCAAAGCCAAGCAAAATGTCAAACACATTCAGAAAGGGGTCCAATAGCACTGCAAATGTAAAATTCCCCATACAACTGAATGCACAATATACAAAACTAGAAAACTCTTCTGAAGGTACTTTTCAAAGAACCCAGTTTGGAAAAGAATGCCGACTTGGCTCTCAGTAGTGCCTTGGTTTGTTTACATTGCTGATTTAGAGCTGGTCTTCTGCTAATGGACCACTAAGACTTGGCCTTGACAAACAAATTCATATATTTTCTTTAAAAAAGTTAACCGCCCTGCCGGGAGTGGCTCAGCGGTTGAGCATCGACCTAGGATCCAGGCGATCAGGGTTCGATTCCCGGTCAGGGCACATGCCCAGGTTGTGGGCTGCAGCCGATCAATGACTCTCTCATCATTGATGTTTCTATCTCTCCCTCTCCCTCTCCCTCCCTCTCTCTGAAATCAATAAAGATATATTTAAAAATAAATAAAAAAATAAATAAAAAAATAAAATAAAATAAAAAAGTTAACCATTGATAAACATCATTTCCAGGTAATAACAATAATGATAAATTAAAGATGTAGAGATTGACACTGAAATGCAGCAAAAAGGGCCAGACTGATAAAAATGTCCACCCATTCTCCTCCCACATCTAGAAGGACCATGTCTCCTATTACCAGGGCAGCTTGGAGGAGACGAGGGCCTAGTTCTGAGGCATGTGCCCCTTCTCTGTGCTCCGGTATCTGTCCTGTTGGTATCTCCCATCAGAGAGAAACGCTGAAGGTAGAGATTGTGTCTTGCTGCCTTTTCAGTGGACCACCAGGGGGCGCTACAGCATGCCGCCACATCCCTGGTACACTGGGATTGAGGGGGATTTCTGCTTTTAGGGTCTCTTTCCAGCTACAGACAAACGGCCTCTGTGTCCCCAACTGCCTTCTCAGGGCTGAAACACACCAACAACTCAGCTGGGCCCCCGAAGAGTTCACCTCCGGCTGTTCCCGCCACAAAAGAAAGATTTGGAGCCACACGGGACATAAACGCCAAGTTACAAAAGAACCACAAGTGCAGCTCATACTGTTTAAACATTAGAAAAGCTAAAATGGAGGGGGCGCTACTAGATGGATTGAGGCAGGTTTATTTAGAGTTTACTACATACAGTTTGCCTGACAATCGCTGTTCTGAAGACATTTATCTCCAGCATCTTTATATCTACATTTATATGTATCTATCAGTATTTTAAAGTTTAGCTCAGTGGCCTAAGGCCTTGCCATTCCAAGGGTGGCCCCCAGACCAGCAACACCAGCATCCCTAGCAGCTTTGGAAATGCAGAACCTCAGGCCTCTCCCAGGCCTCCTGATTCAGAATCTTTATTCTAATGAGATCCCCCGATGATTCACAGGCCCAGCCCAGCATGGTTTCAGAAACCCAGGTATAAGATTCAGTTTCCTACTCATAAGCTCCCAAGCATAGTAAACATCTCTGGCCTCTTTCTCACGGAGTAGGTGCTGGGAAACCAGATGAGAGGCTGCACATAAACAGAATGGATGGAGCCTTGAGGATAAGCAGCTAACACCGAGGTAAAACTCAGCTGTTTCCTTTGGTGTCTCCCAGACCAATATGGTTCTAAAAAACA